TGAATTCATCTGAAATCATTAAGAATTACAAACCATCAGAAAAGTTTGACAAGTACAAAGTTGACCAGATTTATAAAAAACTGGGGGGGAGAGAGATCCCCATTACAAAATACTGTCCTTTTTAATCTTAGCCACATTAACTTCACCATTCTGTTTCCTCAATTCTGAATATGGTTGGCAGCTGCAGATTTGAAATAAAATTAAGTGACAACTTGATTAGAATCCACTTTTTGTTTAAATCCATCTCTTTGTGCTAGAATTGTGTTTGCACAGTAATTATCTCAATGTTGAATTTATTTCTCCTTTTATTTATCTTCAATGTTTACTGGAATTTCCATTACTGAAATGTTCTGGGTTATTTAATTCATTTAACTGAGAAATTGCATTGACTGTATTTTGGGTTTTCTTAGAAACTTGTCCTTAATGAAACTCCAGGTACACTGAAGAAAATGGAATATTTACTACACATGCATATTTACAAGACATTCCATCAATATAATGGTACACAGTATGCATTAAATCCAGGAGCCCCAATGAACAATCATATCACTACAATATTCATTAAACAGTGACTGTCATTTTAACCCACACCATTTAGCATCTGTGGGTCATAGTAACTTGGCCAAGCACTGGGTCACAGGATCCAGAACCAGTAAAGAGGGGTGAGATAACTTGAAGATGTTTGCAGAAAGATAAGAATAATAACCATTTTGTTTGAACCTCTGATACCCAGTATCTCTATATACACCAGTGACTCTGTTGCATCTACATCCCTAAGGAATACTGAATTCCAAACATAATGTATTAAAATCCATGCACATACAGATGCTATTATGCGTATTCCACAAAAGACTTCTTACCCACAGTACAAGATAACAAGCACAACATATTATTGAATAGTCTTTGTTAACGCCTACTCACCACTGCCTTCTCAGAATAAGTCGTTTCTTCAATACGAGAATCTCGTTTTTATATATTAGTAATATACCGAAGAGCAAATATTCATAGTTCTCAGATGTATACTCCCTCGTTCTTTATTGAGCAGCCAGATCAATAAAAAAATGCAACCTACTGAAATTCAGTTCTTCATTTTGACTGAGTAGTAGCATTCAAAAAGTAGAAGTAAATGATTTTCTGAAGCGCTCTCATGTCAATACCACAAGTTGTGGACCGGCACTGATTTAATGTAATAGTAAGAGACATTTAACATTGAGCACCATCCTTAATTTACAATTGTACAAGCATTTTAAGGAAATCCTAAATGAACTGGTTTCTCAGAAGGTACAGTTTCATTCTAGTTGCTGTTGATACTATTTTGCAAAGACAGCAGGCACAAAAGACTGGTAAAAAGATATGGATCTATCTATCTTTCTAGATAGATTTTACATATTTACTATGCTGGCTGAAGTACGCATCTGCTAGTTTTGATATGACATAAGATGATGATATAGGCTTCCTGTGCCTATTGATACCCAGAAGTAAATGGAGGGAAATTAAGTGAACAGCTGTGTCCAGACACTACACTGTGCTTTAACACTGAGGTCCAATGCAGAGGCCTAGTGAAAATCCTTTTTTGTATAGGCACGTCTTCCAGAAAATACCTACTGCACCAGACTGCAGAATAATTCCCTCCACACATCATAATTTGTCAGAAGAAATGAACAGTCTATTACAGCAATTTACTTCATTCTTAACTGAAGTCATAAGAGTAAAAAAACTAAATTAAAAAAAAACAATCAAATCACTGGATAACCATAGAATACTTGAATATTCCATGCAGAATAAAAACATACCAAAAATAAAACCTGTAGAAAGAATTCTTCTGGTTCTACCTTAAAGAAAAAGCTATGAGCTGCTTGCACTATAAAGCTCTACCTTGTATTTAAAGGCACCAAGGTTTTCAGAGAAATGTGTATCCTAAACAAAATGCACTACTCTGTTTTAACTCACTTTAATTTGCTGAATGAAGTTTAGACTATATTAAAGTCTGACCTCTGCTCAAATGTAGTGATACCAATTGTTAGAGGGGAAATAAAGATTGTTTTGAAACTTTTGCCATTTTTTGAGAAAGAAGACAGAAGCTGAACATTAACACACAAGAGACTTCTCAAATATGATAGCCTTATTTCAGTTGTAGTAGGTAAAAGAGAGAATGTGGAGAAGCCAACTGTGCCACAAGTGATAGTGAAGTACAAGTCACTTGTTTGACAATATTTGTGTGGTTTGTATATAAGTAGCTGATTGGCTGATCAATGCCAAGAGTTTATGTATGAAATGATCATCTCAGCAGCTACTTTATTTCTAATCCATGTGGATAAATTTTGCTGCCATCTGTAAGGCCAAGAGGTTCATTAAAACAGAGACTAAGTTTTCATGTCAGGCCAAACCAGAATGCCAGCGATCAGAGAGTTACTTGAGGAACAAATCTGTAAATACACTGACAGCTGCCTAGTACGTTGTTTTCTTTTTTCAAATCCTGAACTGCTGTAGACAGTCAAGGAGCTTGAAGAATAAGTTTTCTTAATCAGTCTCGAAAAACTGACTCTAGCAGTCCTTCAAATAGCAAGTCCTGTGAGAACGCCATGGGGAGACCACACCTTTCAGAAACGTAGGTAGAGTCTCATTTTAATCCCTTCCCCAAAACAAGTATAACAAGGTACCTCACAAGGCACAGCTGAAGAGTTGGTAAAGCAGCAGTGTCACAATCAGAACCTCTTATATACAGTTCAGAGAAATTTAAAATAAAAAAAACCCAGAGAAGTCCAAAATACCTCCTGAGAAAGCTCTGGTTTACTGAAATATCCTGTACAAAAAGTAGGCCACTCCGAGCTGACTTAAAAGAAGTCCATTGCGGTTGGTCTCTTCTTAGCTGGTGTTACAAAGGATTTCTTCAGCTGGGGCTCTCCTGTGGGTGCACCAGGTGACTTCAGCACCCCATGGGGAGGCTTTTGTTCAGGGTTGAAAGCCACCCGGGAGGCTCCTTCTGGGCTCACTAAAATACTTTTGTCTGTCTTTTTAAATTCTGTCAATAAAAGTTAAAGAACAAAGTGATTAGAGACCCAGCCGATGAGAGATTTAGGCACTCCTCCAGTTCCCTGATTGCTCTGGCACCCGAATGGGTACCAAGGAAATCTGCCATCCATGCACGAGATCCAGGCTGTTACCAAAACTCAGAGTTTGAAGAGGAAAATCACAGAAATGTAGGACTGGGCAGGACTTCAATAGGAGATCTAGTCCAATCCTGCCTCAGTGCAGGGAATTACATATTACCTAGACTATCCACAACAGGTATTTGTCACTGGTAGTTTTTAACAACAGGTTTGACAGAGTTTACAACCTCCCCGAGTAATTTGTTCCCGTGCTTACCTACCCTTACTGTTAGGAAATTGTTCCTAATGTTTAACCTAGGTCACCCCTGCTGCAATGTAAGCCAATAACTTCTTGTCCCGACCTCAGTGAATCAGGAGAACAATTTATTACTCTTCTCTTTAAAAAAATTCAAGTCCCTCCTCAGTCTCCTCTGCTCCAGACTAAATAAACCCAGTTTGTTCAATCTTTCCTCGTAGGTCATGTTTTCTAGAATATAAGTAATTTTTGTTGCTTTTCTCTGGACTGTCTCCAATATGTCCACATCATTCCTGAAGCATGGAGTCCAAAACTGGACACAGTACTCCAGTTGAGGTCTTCATAGTGCTGAGAGGAGTGGAAGAATTACTTCTTATGTCTTGCTTACATCATTCCTGTTAACATAACCCAGAATTATCTTTACTTTTTTTCCTGCAACAGTTTTTATATTTCTGCGGTACTCCCTCCTAATTTCCCATTTTGTATTTGTGCAGTTGATTACTCCTTCCTAAGTTTTGTACTTTGCATTTGATCCTTATTGAATTTCATCCTTTTTCTCCAATTTGTTAAGATAATTTTGAATTCGAATCCCGTCCTCCAAAGTACTTACAACCACTCCCAACTTGGTATTTTCCACAAACTTTATAAGTGTCATCTCTGTGTTTTGTAAGTGTCATCTAAATAATTTATGAGGCTATAGACTAGAACCAGACACAGGATAGATCGATGTGCGACCCCACTTGATCTGCCCTTCCAACTTGACTGTGAGCTATTGAAAACTACTCTTTAAGAATGGATTTCCAACCAGTTATCCACTGACCTTACAGTAGGTTTGTGTAGGTTATATTTCCTTATTTTATAAGGCCATATATAGCATCAAAAACCCTCACTCAAGTCAACATACATCACTTCTATTACTTCCAAATTACAGAGAAGCCAACAAGCTTTTATGAAAAAAGATGTTTGTGACAAATCTACGTTCACTGTTACTCACTTTGTATTTTCCCTTTTTCATGCCTATGAGATTTCTTCCATCCTCCATAAATTCTTAAAGATAACTGCTTATGGCTCAGATCTCGTTAGCCAGTTCTAGGATGTGTTTCATCAGTCCTTGAAGACATCTACTTTGTCTAAATTCTTAACTTGGTTTTTCCCTATTTTGTCAGATCCTGCCCCATTTATACCGATTTTCACTATGTCAGTCATCTGATCACTGGTAAATCGGTGAAAATATGAAAGACTCTTATAAAGCGGTCCACAGAACGAAATAGATTTGAAACCACTCTGCCATAGCATTACTGAATCTAGTGGATTCTATTCATTAGGGATCAGTGCAGCTTCATGGAGTCAAGACAATCTCCGAGCCAGAAGCTTCTAGATTTTAGTCTGTCCCCCAGATCATAACTTGGGTACATAAACAATAGAATCCTAAGGCCGGAAGAGACCTCAGGAGGTCGAGTTCAGCCCACTGCCGAAAGCAGGACCAACCCCAACTAAATCATCCCAGCCAGCGCTTTGTCAAGCCGAGACTTAAAAACCTCTAGAGATGGAGATTCCACCACTTCCCTAGGTAACCCATTCCAGTGCTTCACCACCCTCCTAGTGAAATAGTTTTTCCTAATATCCAACCTAGACCTCCCCCAATGTAAGCTGAGACCATTGCTCCTCGTTCTACCATCTGTCACTACTGAGAACAGCCTCACTCCATCCTCTTTGGAACCTCCCTTCAGGAAGTTGAAGGCTGCTATCAAATCCCTCCTCACTCTTTTCTTCTGCAGACTAAATAAGCCCAAATCCCTCAGCCTTTCATGTAGGTCATGTGCTCCAGCCCCCTAATCATTTTGGTTGCCTTCTGCTGGACCCTCTACAAAGTTGACAAAAAGACACACTCTGGAAGCAGAGTCTGACAGGTTCTGTATCCTCGTCTACATACTGTTTTGTAGTTCTAGCCTCCCCTGCCCCTGTCTTTCAACACTGCCCTACTGCACACCAAAAGATATACGTATGTTGCAGGTTCGCAGACACATAGACTCACCAGCAGTCATGTTCTTATTCAATCCAAAGGTGACTTTTTTGGAGCTGGAGCCCTGCAGCTTGTTTAACTACAGAATAAAATGAAGATAGAAAATAAAGGTTGATTTGAGGCAACATTAAGTTCTGTTTCCCTGCTGGAGCTCTGCCGAGTCCTAATTTCTTCCCAGTTATAGATTACTCCCACCCTCAAAGACCCATGCATAGCAGCTTTTGTGCTGGAGAAAAAGGAATGATATTGCTTTAGATTGACTAGATAGCTCACCAACAGTCGACTGTCCTTCCTCCCAGGTATTAAGTACACTGGCCCCACCACCACTCTTAGCCCATCAAGCTAAGAGGGTGTTACAAAGCATAAATTTTAACAGGGTTCAGAAAAGTTGAGAAAAAGTTTAAGAGGGTTATATGAAAACAGGTAGGACGCCTTAGAAGACCTCTTCTGTTACAAGCCTCCATGAAAGGAAAGAGCTGCAAAACTTAAGAGACCATCTGTAAGAGCAGCAAGCCCAGCTCTCTCTCCCCAGACTCTGGGAGGTTGGGCCAGGCCGTAGCTACCCCTCCCCAAGTGAGGCCATAGCTGAGGGAAAGGCTGAGGGACGCAGAGTGATGCATGATGTCACTGTGTCATCCCTCAGGAAAAGCTTTTTTTATATATAGAGAGGGAGAGATGGACAAATAAAATGGACATATAAAAATCCCATGGAAATCACAATCTGCTGAGGAGCTCCAGGCCAGTTTTCATCTAGGTCAGGGGTCCCAAACTTTTACCCAGTCTGAATCAATTTTCCTCTAATTGTTTCCAGCCATGTGCACAATAATTTTTTACATGCACGGAGACATATGTGAATATGAAACACAAAACCTAGCTCTGGGCGCTTTGGTAATCAGCTGGGTAGCACTGGACTCTCTCCTGAGCAGTCACACAGGCACTCAGCTTACCAGGAACACTGCTGAGAATTTGCCAGGAGCCTCGGGGCCACATCTAGTTTGCACAAGGCAGAGCAGACAACAGTTGTCTTCAGTGTCACAGATGCTGCTCACGGAGACAACAGATCCCAGCAAAACTGGATGAAGACACTGGTGTAATCCACGTGGAGTATCATGGGTTGGGACCCACATCTGGACAAACTGCCTTCTGTTTTTAGATACAGGCAGCTGTCAGCCACATCCTGGAGTTCCATGAGCCATATTAAGCACCCCGCTAATTTTGGCAGACCAAATCAGGGTCACTTTACCTGCATTGAGGCTCTGGTTGAAGAGATGCTTCCTTTGGCTTTCCTGAAGAAAACTGGCTTTGGCAAAGTTGTTTTTTCAAATTTCACAAAGTCATTCTCTGTCTTGGCCTTCTTTTTCTTTATTAAAGTGAGAGTGCCACCAACCTCCTGTGAGGTGGGGAAAAATAAAACAAAAATTGACTCAGCGTGGAAAAGAGCGGCAGCTAACTGAGAAATACATGCTATGGGTTAGTGCAAGCCATTCGCTAGTGGTGGCCACAATTAAAGAATGGTAACTTATTATGAATGAATGCTAGTTGGCAGTCACTTGTTAGTCCCCTGGTTAACATTTGCCCTCATTACAAAAATGTCAAGTTTGCATGATGGGAAATCTGTGTTCAAGAAAGATCCGCACTGGAATAGGAAGACTGTTGCATGGCGAAAGGAGGTGCATTGGGGGAATTCTGAAAGGTGATGGGAACTTGGAAGACACTTGTTTGAACTTTCAGGGTCCAGATAATGCCACCCCATTCAGGAGCACAAGGTTTCCCTACTCTCTTCTATGTCCATCGGGGAGCTCTGAAGCTTTCCCCTTTCCCTCTGCCCCAGTAGGGCAAGGATTACATGGGACTGGTTCTGTGTCTGTTTAACTCTGTTCCTGCATTGACAGAGTGTGGACAGGCTGCTACTGAGTAATATAAAGATCTAGAGAACATGACCTATGAGGGAAGGCTGAAGGAATTTGGTTTGCTTAGTTTATAAAAGAGAAGATTGAGGGGGGACATGATAGCAGTTTTCAGATATCTAAAAGGGTGTCATAAGGAGGAGGGAGAAAACTTGTTCATCTTGGCCTCTAAGGACAGAACAAGAAGCAATGGGCTTAAACTGCAACAACGGAGGTTTAGATTGGACATTAGGAAAAAGTTCCTAACTGTCAGGGTGGTCAAACACTGGAATAAATTGCCCAGGGAGGTTGTGGAATCCCCATCTCTGGAGATATTTAAGAGTAGGTTTAATAAATGTCTATCAGGGATGGTCTAGACAGTATTTGGTCCTGCCATGAGGGCAGGGGACTGGACTTGATGACCTCTCGAGGTCCCTTCCAGTCCTAATATTCTACGATTCTATAAGCACACTTTGCTCTCTAAGGAATGACTATGCTAAGAAACCTAGGAGACCGAGAAAGTTACCAAGAATGAAACAAAGTCTCTTGCAGAACCTGGCAACTAAGTGGCTGCCCTCTCCTCACGGACAAATTGAGTCATGTTAGTTCAGATTTTTTTTTAAAAGAGCAAAAATAAAAAAGGGGGCAAGAGAATAAAAGGGTACCCTTTTCAGGGTAATCTTAATCTTAACACCACTGAGACCAGAAGACAATTATGCTCCACTTAAAAAAAAGAGCATAAGTCTTAGTTTTCCAATTCTGGACATTTCTGGTTTTGCCCTTTCCTATTGTTTTACAATGTACACAGCTTCTTCCCCTTCCCAAAATTTTTCACACTTGGGAAACCAAGAAACAAAACATCTCCAACTCCATTCTCTTGAGGGCAGGACAATTTTTAGTTCAGGTTAGTTTTATGGGACTTATCATTTTTCAGATGCAACTAAGCTCCGTCTTCAAAGACAGAGAACCGAGAACCAGATATTACACCATTTAAAATAAAAGATGTACGAAGATAGATTCCTCTCTTTTTACATCATAAAGGAGAGAAGCAGTATTTAACTTTGCATTAGACACAGATTTAGAGATCCAATATTTTGAAAACTCTATAATGGCAGAAATGTGTGATTTGTGATTTGGAAATGCCAATTTCCTATACTCTCATGAAGCCTTCGTTCTTTGAATACTATTTGACTGCAAAACATAACTCTTTAAAAAATGTTCACAGTATTATGTATAAAAATCTATAGAACCTTTCTAACAGCATAATATATGAGTTACTAGTCTTCCAAGGAGTATACTGTTGGATCTTGTCGATACACAAATGTGCACAGGTTTAACTAAAGATGTGTTTTTAAGCTTGTTTAAACTGGTGTGTAACCAAAGGTACTTAAGCAGTCTGATTTCTAAGGCAGAGGAACAAAGAACAAAACCTTTTCTTAGACTGTGTACAAAGGTTTCCTTAAAACCCTGTGAAAGACAAAATGAGCAATGCAAAGTGCAAAACTAGGATTAAAATATTTGGAAAAACATCTGTAAACGAAAATGAAAATATATAGCTAGTAAATATTCACTAGTTTTCACTAAGGAAAACTCAGAGACTATTTCAAGGGGAAAATAGACACAACACTTCTGGAATCCTGGCAAAGTCAGAATCTGCAAAATATTTTTGGATGCTAAATGCTTTGTAAATTCAGACTGCCTCCACTTACACCTCACGCCCCAAGAAGGACATGGAGGACAAAAAACAAAATGGCCATTTATTGTTGCAAGGAATTCTTATTGCTGCATCAGAAATGGCTTTCTGATGCAGAACAAATTGAGCACAGTGTTGGATGCAATGCCCCTTTACAAGGATTTGGCCCATTCATTCACACAAGTAGTCATGGAAGCACCATGAGCAATGGAAGTGACTCTGATCCATGACATTCCTGGGTGGTGAAAGAGGGAAAAATAGGCACATGGGACTCTCCCACTCCTTTAATTCCTTTTCACAAGGGGAAATTAATGCCCTCTCAGACTACTTAGCTCAAACAAGCCTCACGAGCAAAAGAGAATTAGGCCTCTCTGCTTACGCTCTTTTTGCTTTTCTTGCATGCAGCCTCAAGAACTCCCTTCACTTCCACAGAGTTTATCACCTCTTTGATCTTCCTCTTCTTTTTCAGGGATGCTGGTTTCTGGTTTGAGACCTTGAGTCCTTCTGAACTGCCCAACTTAGGTTTTTTCTTCAATTTCACTTTTTGGGTAGGTGTGGATTCAGAGTCCCCTTCTCCTTTAAGGCTATTCTGCAAGCTTTCTCCTTCTGACTGCAGAGCAGCCTGTTCAGATAAGCCACTTCCATTGAGTAAGACAGTCCCTATTTTCTGTTTCTTTTTCACCATCTTGGTAGTAGTCAGAGGGGCACAGTCACTGCCATCCTGCAGGGCACTGGCATTAGTTGGTCCATTCTGGGATACAGGATTTACAGGAACCTTCTGTAGTTTTGTATTCTTTTTCTTGAGCTGTGTCCTTTTATTCTGTATTATGTGGGTCAGAGCATCCTGAGCACAGTTGTCACCACCTCCTCCACTGCCGGTTGCTCCAATTCCAGTCTCCGTTGGCTCTCTGTCCAGAGATTTGGTTTTTCTTTTTCTCTTATTAGTTTCTGACGCTCTGCCCTTGTTGGGTTCAACGGCATCACATACCCCTTGCTCACTCCTTCCGTCAGGTGTGCTGGAGTTTGCAATTTGACAGTCTCTCTTCTTCCGCCTCTTCCTCTTCTTCTGGCGTCCTGGTGCATCATTTCCCTCTGCACTCGGTGCCTCTTTTCCATCCTTCTCTGCGAGACAAAATCAGAAGCAGAAAATTTAACACAAATATGAAATGAAGGGACAACTGCAACAGTCCAGGTGCTTTCATTATGCCCCTAAAACTTATCTTCATGTACAGCCACCGATTCCATATCATTTTCCCCCCAGGCCTATTCATGCTTTGCTTGCCTTTTTTCCTTTGTTATTGCTGGGTTGCCAGCAGTTTCCCATGAAAAGTCTATTATGGGCAATAATATCTCTGCCCCATCAAAGTACTCTTTCTTGGAGGCCTTCCTGCCAGTAAACCCATTAAAAGGCAGCTCATGTGTCAGATGACTGGTACATTTTCAGATAAGAACATGAAGCCTGTAGTAATGTAAATGCAAACCCTGATGGGAGAAACAGCTGTCAAGCCTCCTAGATAGCTTATCTCCATTCCTCTCCTGTAGACATTCCCCCAATTGCTAATGTTCTAATACAGTGTTTCTCAACATGTCTTTTATAAAGTATCCCTTAAAAAAATTATAAGTACCCTCAGTACCTACAGTTTTCAGACACTCAAATTTCTTTTCTACCATTGCAACACATGTGTTTAAACAACTTAACTGTAGCCAGGCGGGTGATGAAATTTTGGGGTGTAAGAAGTACAAAAATAATAAAGCGCTGTAAGACTTAAAACAAAAATTCAGTTTCCTCCAAATTTCAGTTGTGCTGACATCCCCCGCCCCCCCGACTTCTCGAGTACCCCTGAGGGTACTCGTACCACCGGTTGAGAAACACTGCTCTAATAGCGTTCCTCTTTCAAGAAGACAAATATGTTCTTGCTTGCACGGTAAATACCAATAGTGCTCTTTGACAGAGTGTCATGACCATGAGAGATGGGCAGTAGCCTGAGGAATAAGGGGTTAACTGTACCTAGCCAGGTGACTTGGGTTTAGAAAGATCCAATGTGGACAAGGGGGAGGAAGTTGCAGAGGGATTGGAGGTTGTTTCTGATGGAGTGGAGACAGCCAGGGAGATGAAATAGCCCTCTGGTGATCAAGTGACTGTTTGACCAGCTTGCTGGAGTGTGTGTGTTGCTGAACAGGGATGTTTCCAGTCTGATTCTGTGAAGGGACCAGAGATCCATAAGTCTATTAAACCAGTTCACCTAGGCCCTGTCTCTGTGAGGTAGTGGCCCACTTGGAAAACTAGATTGAAAGAAGCAGGGTGACAGGTTAGTGTCTGGACTGCTTGCTTCCTGACTAGCTGTAGAGAGAAGGAAAATTCCATGGCCATTGTGAGCAAGGCAGACACACCCAGCCAGCCCTTTGTCTTTGGGATACAGAGTTCTGAATTTGAACACAAGGCGAGGGGGAGGGGCAAGACTTGTGTTTGCCCAGGAAGGAGGCAGCTTTTTAAATCAAAAAGCCCAAAATTGTCAGGGTACACTTGCTATGGATTTGTTTCTACTGCTTATCGTAACCTTCATAACCAATGTGGTGTTGTTACTAAGAATTGTAACAATGTCCACTGTGCATGATTTTGTACCAAAACCCTGGAAACTGTTAAGAAATGTACCCAAGGACACACTGTATGTTCAAAAGCCTTGTGACACTGGTATTTCACTGTTGATACCTCTGCTTAGTTTTAGAGCTTCTCACCTGAGAAGGGGCATTCCAGGATTGGTGTGCTATGTGAAAGGGGAAACGGAGGCACAACTACATTTTGGTATCCTGGCTAAGTTCCAACATGCCTACACTATGGGGAATAAGGATACATACATACATTATATCAGCATTAATTTTAAACAATTGCCAAAGCTGGCATGGATAAATTTAATATTTTCTTTAGCTGAGCAAGGGCATTGCTGTACCCACTAATGGGTGTCGGGTCCAAATTTTGTGAAAAGGGGCCCATTTAAGGTGTCTACTGAAATGAGAAGGGGCATTCCAGGATTGGTGTGCTATGTGAAAGGGGAAACGGAGGCACAACTACATTTTGGTATCCTGGCTAAGTTCCAACATGCCTACACTATGGGGAATAAGGATACATACATACATTATATCAGCATTAATTTTAAACAATTGCCAAAGCTGGCATGGATAAATTTAATATTTTCTTTAGCTGAGCAAGGGCATTGCTGTACCCACTAATGGGTGTCGGGTCCAAATTTTGTGAAAAGGGGCCCATTTAAGGTGTCTACTGAAAACTTTTTCTCTGCTGATTCTATGTATGATACTTGTGTACGTGTGTGATGTTTGTATATGAAGTTATGGAATGGACTTTGTTCTTGTATGTTAAAATTTTTCTATCTGGAAGGACTAAGTGGGTGTGGACTGCCTACTCTGAAGAATGCTTATTCAGTGAATGGCTGTGCTAAGTAGCACTGCCTCATGAAACAAAAAACAGGGCTATGTAGCACTTTAAAGACTAACAAGACCTGAGGCCTGCATCTGGGAGACTGCAAACCATCTTGCAGAGGACTGCTTGCATGTGACCAGCTCCAATTGGCAGACAGGAACATTAAAGGGCCTGAGGCTGACACTAAAGACTGTTAAGCTAGCAGTTTGTCCGATCTTTGCTAACCACCTGCATCAAACTCTCGGTGATTGACGTATGACAAGTGTTCTCATTAACAATCTTACTCCCAACTTTTTCTTTCATTAATACACCTTTAGAGTTTAGATTCTAAAGGACTGGCCCAGCGTGCTCTTGTGGGTAAGATCTAAGAGAAAACTGGCCTGGAACTGTGGATGAGTCCTTTGGATCATGAGGATCTGTTTAGAGTTGTGATAGAAATGTAGCCGTGTTAGTCTGGTGTAGCTGAAACAAAATACAGGACTATGTAGCACTTTAAAGACTAACAAGATGGTTTATTAGATGATGAGCTTTCGTGGGCCAGACCCACTTCCTCAGATCAAATAATGGAAGAAAATAGTCACAACCATATATACCAAAGGATACAATTAAAAAAAATGAACAAAAATGAAAAGGACAAATCACAAGTGGGTCTGGCCCACGAAAGCTCATCATCTAATAAACCATCTCGTTAGTCTTTAAAGTGCTACATAGTCCTGTATTTTGTTTAGAGTTGGTGAGTGTAACCTCCCACCTGTATGTGAGGCCTGGGTCTGATGGTGGCACAGGGAAACTGGGGTGTCCAAGGGGTTTTGCTGGTAAGGCTTCGTGCTGGCCAGGTTAGCAGCTGAAGTGCTCGGTGTAACTGGTGGGGTGCCTTGGGAAAGGACCCCAGTTGAGGGTAGTAAGTAGCCCTGTTTTTAAGCAATTCGCCCTGAGCTGACGCCCTCAGCAGTACCAAGACCCGGCCTGGTGTATGACAGTGGTGCATTCCCCAGGAGGCACAGAACCTAGTCAATCAAGCTTTGGATCAGGACCCCACGCTATTCTAAATTTGATTTTGAAATTGAGAGTTTGATTAGTTAAAGAGGCAATTCCGGACTCAATTACTTAGGACACTCTCAATATATCAGTCATGGTACTCCATGAATGTGGAAGAGTTTTGTTTAATTCTCATGTATTCGCTAAGAATGTAAATTGTGCTTGTACTTATTTACTATGTTTTATCCCAGACCTCCAGGAAGAAATCACGGCCAGTGTAACCAGAGGCTGTCCAGCACCGTCTGCGATTTGGGGACGTGTCATGACCATGAGAGATGGGCAGCAGCCTGGAGACTAAGGGGTTAACTGTACCGTACCTAGCCAGGTATCTGCTCAGCCAATAGAAATGCAGATAGGGATTTCAAACTGAGACAAAGGAATTTTGGGGTTTTTCCCTCCTTTGTCCCTGAGCAGTTACTCTCCAGCTACTGAGGGGGGCAGACAAAATGTCTCTCTCCAAGAAAAGACTCTTCACTATCTGTAAGTAGGGCAAAGTTTAGACAAATCCGTTAGGTTTTATTGTTTGGGAATAGGAATCTATGTCTGTGCATTTAAAAATGGGTTTTCCTCTCCTAGTTTTGGCCCATGGTGGAATCCCCCCATGAGTATACTGTGACTTTTCCTGTACTCATTATGCTTGCAACAGGAATAGTGTGGTGATAAAATGAAAAGAGAAAGAACTTTTATTATTAACCTGGTATTGGTTAATTTGTGAGTCCTGGTTTTACTTTTGGAGCTGAGATTTCCTAAGTAGTCTCTCACTGGTTTCTTTATTATTACTTAGGTGGTGACAGTGGATTTTTTTTATCCTCAAAATCTAGGGTTTTAAGATTTTTTGGGGGGAAGCTTTATACCAAAGCCTGGAAAGATAAGACTTTGGGATACTTTTGTGGGCCCCCACTTCTGCATTTATCGTGCCAGAGTGGGGAAGAAACTTTGACAGTGAGTAAAGGCAAAGTCCAGCTTCTTCCCTATCTGCAACGTATTGGGTGAAACCTTAGCTCCACTCACAACAGTGGCAAAATTCCCATTGACTTAAATGAGAATTGAAGGATTTCAACCTTTCCCCTGCATTGCAATGAGACTCAGAAATCAGTGAATCCCAAGCAATTGATCATTGTTTTAAATCAATCTAATCCTCTTATGTTGCCATGCCACACTGGGTGTGTCTGCCCTGCAACTGGGAGCATACCTCCCAGCCTGAGCAGACAGACTTATACTAGCAGTACTTGATCTAGCATGCTGAAAAGAGCAGTGCAGCCACTGTGGCTCAGGCTCTCAAGTCTACCAGACCTCCTAGGCTTGACAATCAGAGTCACAGTGTACCACACATCTATTTTTAGTATGCTATCATCAGCCCTGCTAGCCTGAGTTTGGCTAGCTCACCACTGCAGTGTGGACATACTTGCAGCCTGGTGATAACAGTCCCGCTTCCCTAGCTTTGCCTCCTACCTTTCTCTTTCTCCAGCTTGGCTTTCTCCACAGGTTTAACAACTTTTCTCTTTCGCCTGCCCCTGCTGAATGTATCGTCATCTTCATCTGTAGAAACGTCTTCAGGGAAGTCATCTTGTGGGAAGATTCCTGTTGAGGAAAAAAAGTCTGAGGAGATGTCTGGAAGTCCCCACCTCTCTCCCTCAGTAGTTTCTGGGCTCACATTCAGCACAAGGGACACAAACATAGATTCCCCTACTCTACTTGTTCATCAGCAAGTTTAAAGCACCGCAAAGAAATGTGCACCAAAGTGTGAGATTTCTTCATTTTTCTGTATCAAACTAATCATGTTTCTCACTTAAGAAGCAATGAATCTGATTAAGTGGGCAAGACCCTGGCTTATATGCTTCCTAATCAGAAAAACACATCACAGCAATCCCCTCTGAAATTAATACTCTGAAAACGTATGTAAAAACAGCACACAGACATAACATTCATGAACATGCTTCTTTTTTGATGCTCAATTCTCACCTTCTGCTAGGCCCTGGAACCTGAAAAAAAGTTAAAAAACAAAGTCTTATTGTTACAATAACGTTTGACTGAAATGTCATCAAGTCACTGCATTTATGATGCACACTTCCCACTTTTAAGGAAAGCATAATGAATTGGAGGGCTACAAAACGTATCTCTCCAAGAGATCGGCCTCAAATCTCAGGCAATTCAAAGCCAAACTATTGAAGAAGTCTTGGCAAGAGTGCAGTCTAACACTCCCCCCTCCACAGTTTGAGCACAGCGCTGTTCAAAACACTGTGATTTAAGAGAATGTGGAGTAATTTGTCAAGCAAAGGCATAGAAGCCTGATCACTTGAAATACTTAGAACTACACAAGACAAAGCACTTGACATGCAACGTAACAACTATAAACTGGTATGAAGTACAGACAAAATAACTCAAGTCCCTTCCAACTCTAGTGTCTAGGAAACTGTGAAAGACACAACAGCCAAACCAAAATCTGTTTCAGACCCATACATATACCCATGTCAGACAGATTTTGTATTCATATACACTAGGAACTGTAAGCAATGTCCTCTTTTTAAGATATATGGTTAAAGCAGGAAAGTACTAGACAATATATTCACGGCTGAAATGCTTTCATTAAAAGGAGAGAAATCTCTTAATGCAGACACTAGCAGTAGACTGAGTTGTGGAAACAGGTCCTCAAGTCTACTGACAAATCATCATACAGAGCTTTGTTTCAAGAAAACTCACTTTTTGACCAGTTTGTACAGACGTTTTCTGTTAAAGGCAGGTGTATTTTTTCTGCTGGCCAATTCGAAGAGTCTGTTAGCAACAGCTTTATAGTTAAACTGCAAAAAGAAAGCGAGCACAATACAGCATCGTTGTTAGGCAATTATACTAAACAGCCTAGTATAGCTTATGTTATAAATACTTCAAGCAGCATATGCTTCTTACTACTTCCAATCTCTTCCATTACACTTGATCTCTGCCAAGATTCACACCCCCAAATGCACATGCTAGCTTTATGGATGGGTTCTTTGACGACATAACCATGGGAGAGACCAGCTGGGTAAGGCAATATCTTACTGGGTCAACTTCTGTTGGTGGAAGAGACAACCTAAGAGCTTGGTTTAGTTTGAACACTTGCATTTACTGCCAAGAAAAGTTGGTCCAACAAAAGTTATCTTACCCACTTTGTGTGTCACCCTCTGATAAACATAACTTCAGCAACACTACGTTACAATGAAGCATTCAAATAATATTTTTGAAGAACACTTCTAACATGGGCGTTCATTCAGAAGGAAAAAGCAAACAAATTAACTTATATTTAAAATCTTTTAAGATTTTAAACGACAAAATGTACATGCGCCATAGGCCATCCCAGAAGCACGAGGTGTCTCTGTTGTAGCATAATTCTGGATCTCAGCAGTTCATTCCAATGAGTTCATAAAATCTGGCATGCATCTTTAGAGGGGAGGGACAGCTCAGTGATTTGAGCACTGGCCTGCTAAACCCAGAGTTGTGAGTTCAACCCTTGAGGGGGCCAATTAGGGATCTGGGGCAAATCTGTCAGGGAGGGTACTTGGTCCTGCTGTGAGGGCAGGGGACTGGACTGGATGACCTCTCAAGATTCCTTCCACCTCTATGAGCTGGTATAGCTCCATATATTATATTACTATTAAGGCCTAGCCCCATGCCCTGTATTTGCTTCTACCCTGTCATTTGTGCTCTCAGTATCAGTAAGGGCTGTGCTGACTCCTGGGACAGACAGTACAAGATATGGGTTTAGCAACTTTTTTGGTACCTTTTGAGGTGGAAGGGGAGGAAAGAAGCAGGTCAGGGGAAAAGGGAGAGAGAGAGAGGCAAAACAAAATTTGGCATATGTACTGCTGTACCATCATTTATTTTGTGTAACCACCTCATAAGGAATATGTTAATACAAAACTCAGCTGAAGATATTTAAGGCATGTCTACACTACAATTAAAAACCCATGTCTGGCTCCTATCTGCTGACAGGCTTGTGGTGAGGATGTCCTGGCTTGGGCTGTACCCTGAGCTCTGGGATGCATCCACCTTGCAGGTCCTAGATCTCAGCCCCAGCCCAGAAGTCTACACAGCAATCAAATAGCCCTAGAGCCAGACTCAGTTGGCAAGGGCCAGCCACAAGATCTTAGACATACCTCAAGACAGGGCTACTCGATTTTTGGTAGCCCCGGGGGCCACGATACTCACAGCCCATGCTGAGGGCCGTAATTTAAGCGTGGTTGCATATACATGCAAATAGCTTCCTTCACACAGACGAGCATGAATAAAGATCAATCCTTAAACCGTGGTGCTGGACCCAAACATGGCCAGTGTCAGCCAGTCAGCACTTCTCAGGTTCTGCCCATAAGGCTAAGCAGCCAGCACTTCCCACAATGCCCTGGCGCTCCCTGCACCTCCTCCGAGGGGGCAATGCCGACACCCTGTACCTGTCTGTTCCAGCCAGCCCGTCCGCTTGAGTCTTTCAATGTTCATCCGGCCTTGGAGACACCTTGCCATTGTGGAGCATGTTCCCAGTGAAGGCCATGTTCAACGAATCCCACCCACAGGCCATGTGTTGAGCCCCGCGTAAACCCAAACTGCACTGCGGGCCGCAAAGAAATGGGCCGCAGGTTGCATGCGGCCCACTGCCCGCGTGTTGAGTAGCCCTGCCTTAAGTTATGCAAGACATATTTATCTCTTTATTCAACTGGTGATGTCTCCACTATACAACAAATAAACAAATCTTAGGATTATTCATGGGGACCTGTCATGCTGATACAAAGCAAGCAAGGCACACACCTGGAGAACAGGACCAATATTTTCATCAGTATTTTCAGAAAGGTCCTTTTGTTCCTCAAAGCTCAGTGCAGATTTTCTTGATAAATGTTTGTCTGTTACAGAAAAAGGATTTTAAAGCTCAGTCAGAAAGTATACGCAAAGTGCTGTGCAACACAGTGGAACAAGAGGCGTGTTAGAGCCATGAAACTCTCCCCCCATGTAGGGAGAGGGGAAGCAGCCATCACCAAGTAGCAAATGAACAAAGGGCCAAGACAGGAGACCTGATAACTTTCCTTGCTCTAGCACTGACATATTGTGTTATTTTTGGAAACTACCAGAGATGCTCTACACTGCAGGTACCTGCTCTTGGTATTAGGGATGAACACATTCCCATTTATATCCACGTAGTTTGGCTGTAAGGATGAAAAACATCATACAATTCAAAACAGCGGTATTATTTCTGGGTCTTTGAAATGACCATCTCCATAGCAGAAGAAACATCTTGGAGCAATTTCCTCTCAGGTCATTATCACAAAATACAGTAAAACTTCAATTGTTGAGCATCCAGTGGTCCAGCACTCCTGATAGTCTGGCACCAACTGGAACCTGGAAGTGCTTCAGCTAGCTGGACAATTGGAGCTGCCCAGAAGCAGCGACAGAGAGAGGGCAAGAGGCAGGCAGCTGTTTAAGCGAAGAAACATCTTGGAGCAATTTCCTCTCAGGTCATTATCACAAAATACAGTAAAACTTCAATTGTTGAGCATCCAGTGGTCCAGCACTCCTGATAGTCTGGCACCAACTGGAACCTGGAAGTGCTTCAGCTAGCTGGACAATTGGAGCTGCCCAGAAGCAGCGACAGAGAGAGGGCAAGAGGCAGGCAGCTGTTTAAGCGGGCGGGGGGGATGGGCGGAACACGGCAAGGGGCGAACCCTCCGCCGTGTTGCGGGGAGGCGGGGGCAGCCCCCCGCCGC